TTATTTATTTATTTATTTTTTGTGGAACCAGCAATTGAACTCAGGCCCTTGTGCTTGCCAGGCAAGCATTTACTCTACTGAGCTGTCTCCCCGGCCATACTGAGCTGTCTTCCCGGTCCCTAGGATTGTCATTTTAAACAAAGCAAACATGGAAGCCCTTCCAAGAGAGTAAGGTGCAGGCAAAAGATCTGAGAGTAGGCCAGATGGTTCTAGGGAAAGCGCTTGCATGAAATCAAGCTTTTACTCTGAGTGAGATGGGACGGAAAACCTCTGCATCGCAGATTCCCTCTCAGCTCTCTCCTGCAACCAGTCGCCATATCTTTAAGTATCTCTCATGCTTCTGGTTTTGGTAGTTTGTGGCCAAGCAACAAAAGCCCGAAGAAGCAGGGCCAGGGATAGAGCTCAATGGCACAGCATTTGCCTGGCAAGCATAACGTTGGGAGTTTGATTCCCAGTACAAAAAAAAAAAAAAAAGACTAAAGTAGTCTTCTTCTACTTGGGGGTTGGCAGGGCAGAAGTAAAGGCTGCAAAGTCCCAGGGAGCAGGGCAGAATTCCTTAAACTCAGCCCAAACCACCTCTTCCCTAGTTTCTAATCTCTTCCTTCCCCAGAGTCCTGTAAACAGAAACGTGAGCTGCTGACTGCCTTATGGGCACCCTGTTTCTCCTACGAAGAAGGCATTTTACAGTTCCTAGAATGGAGCTGCAGAACTGGGGCTGCCCACCTCGTGGGCCATCTGCTCTGGCCCTAGGCCTACAAGCTGCAGTGGCCTTGAGAGTCTTGCTCTATACGTGCCACCTTCCCAGGGTTTAAGCAAAGGGTGATTTAAATAACCAAGGCAAAGGGTGATGAAGAGTTCATTTCTTCCCTTCCTGTTCATTAACGAGAAGAAAGAAATATTTATTGAGCTAGGCATGGCGATACATGTCTGGAAGCCCAACATTTCACCAGGCTAGGATGGGAGGATCACAAGTTTGATCCCAGTCCAGGCAACTTTGCAAAGACTTGTCTCAAAAAAAAAAAAAAAAAAATTTAAATAGGCCTGGAGATGTCACTCAGGGCAAAGCCCCTGGGTTCAATTCCAAGTACTACCAAAAAGGAAAAAAAAAGAGAAAGTTTCTTTCTTTTTTTTTTTTGGCGGAACCGGGGATTGAACTCAGGCCCTTGCATTTGCCAGGGAAGCGCTTATTCCACTGAGCCATCTCCCCGACCCCCCCCTTTTTTTTTTTGGTGAGAAAGTTTCTTGAGCACTTATTATCTACAGGCAGAAGATGAGCCCAGATCAACTTGGTTTAAGTCTCTCCTGACTAAATAAAACTGGGCAAATAATATAAATGAATATTTATTTAATGCTTCTTTTTTGTTTTGTTATTTGTTTATTGAATGTATTTGGTACAAGGTCTCAGTAGCGATCCTCCTGTTTTCAGCCTCCCCAGCACTGGAATTACAGGTGTGAGCCACCACGCTTAGACTCCTTGGCAACTCAGCACGCCCAGGGGTGTGCCAGGGATTGAACCCAAACCCAGTCCCTGCGCTTGCCTAAGCAGACTCTTAAGTCTGCTGAGCTATCTCACTGGTACTTGTTTTAGCTTTGAGACAGGATCTCTGCAGTTCCAGCTGGCCTAGTGCTCACTTCTACAGCCCCCAGGATGGTCTCAAACTCACAGTGACCCTCCTGTCTCAACCTCCTGAGCACTAGGATTACAGGCATGTGCGAGAGCACACCTGACTTATTTAATAAGTCTTTATTTTTTTATTTTTATTTATTTATGTGTGTGTGTGTGTGTGTGTGTGTGTGTGTGTGTGGCCAGCTCAGCCCACCAGGGGGCAGGGCTGGCGGGCATGAGGTGCTGGGGGATTGAACCGCGGTCCCTGTGCTTTGCTAAGCTTGTTCTAAGTAGGTGCTTTAGACCACTGAGCCATCTCACCAGCCCCTATTTAATACTTCTTAAACACCAGGCACTGTGATATGTATGAGATGCCAAACAAGGACATGTCTGCTTAAACATTCTGAGCTAGGAACGGTGGCGCACACCCATAATCCTGACACCCAGGAAGCTGAGGCAGGAGGACTGTCTTCAGTTTGAGCCCAGTGCGGGCTACATTGTGAGATCTTTTCTTAAAAAGCCTTATAATTAGGGGCCTCATAGTTGGGGGTAAATACTGCAAATTATGACAAGTGCTAGGAAGGAAATAGATGTTAAAACAGAAAACTGAAAGAGCCTTCATTCCACAGGGGGTGGGAGGGGGTCTTTTTTGCAAAGCTGAGCCCTGAAGCCTGAGGAGCCAGCCCCTAAAGGACAGAGGAAAGTGTCCCAGGCAGAGAGGACACCCTCTGCAAAGGCCCTGAGACGATGGCCAAGGATGGACCAGACAGAGGCAGGAAATACAGTGGTACAAATGAGGGGTGTAGCAGCTCAGGGGCCAGATTCCTCTGCAGATGTGAAGATGGTGAGAAAGAAGGTGGATTTACGCTAACCAGTCACATGAGGCAAAGGGGAGTGACAGCACCAATCTACACATGCAGAGAACATGCTTACTGAGAATTCAGGATTCACCAGCCCGAGTCACGTGATGGGAGGCAGATAGAACAAAAGGTGGCAGCTAAATGAGATTATGTCACTGTCAAGAGGTCCAACAGCCAGAACACCTGCCCAGAGCATTGGGTAGGTTAGTTTGAGAATGGAAAGATGTTGGAAACAGAAACACAGCTTTCATCAAAACCAAAATCGAATAAGGACAGACAAAGACTGCAGAGAAAATGTTCTCTGGGAAGAGAACATTTCCTGGGAAGCTTTGTTTTGGCTTGGTTGGGTTGGGTTTTTTGGTGGTTCTGGGGATGGAGCCCAGGGCCACTTTACCACTGGGCTGCATTCCTGACTCTTCTATTGTTTTTCATTTTGAGACAGGGTCTTGCTAAGTGGCTAAACTGATGCCTCTGCCTCCCAAGTGCTGGGATTATAGGCATGTGCCACCACACCCAGTCTCAGTCGCTGTCTCAGTACGCCCCAGTGCTGGGGATTGAACCCTGGTCCCTGCATCTGCCTAAGCAGGCACTTTAATCCACTGAGCTATCTGGCTGGCCCAGGTATCCAAATTTTTACTAAATAACCCATATGACAGATTGTGCTAAGCAAAAGAAGAAACATAACTGGCAAAGAGAATATATAATCACGAAGATAGAAAAAGCACTACAGGGCTGGCCAGATAGCTCAGCAAACTAAAGTGCCTGCTTAGGCAGAGCCTAGTGACTGGGGTTCAATACCCGGTGCTGTGCTGGTCCCGCCCCTGAGGTATGCTGAGATGCTGATTGAGACTGATCCTGGTGGTGCACACCTGTAATCCCAGCACTTGGGAAGCTGAAAACAAGAGTATCACTAAGAGTCCGATCTACATAGTGAGACCCTGCAGTCCCTGTTCTAAATACAAAAAAAAAAAAAGGGTTAGCCAAATAGCGGATTAAAGCAGGTGCAGAAGCCAGGGGTTCAATCCCCAGGCCTGCTGTGCTGGCCCATCCCCAGGGCCTGCTGAGATGGCAATTGGGACTGGGTGTGGTAGTGCGTGACTATAATCCCAGGTCTTGGGAGTCTGATCTAGTAGTGAGACCCTGAACACCTTGCAGACCCTTCCCTAAAATACAAAAAACAAAACAAAAAAATTACATATATATGAAGAAAGAAAAAGCACTACAAAAGTACAGGGCCACAGAAACAAAATGACTTCAGGTTTTGTATCAGGTTTAGGAGGTCATTTCAAAGTGTCACATGGAAGGACAGAATGCCCTACTGCAAAAGGTAAGGAGCCAGCAGCAGCGACTGGCGCACATACCCTAAAGCAGGGGGAGGTAGTTACCCCGGCAGTGGGCAGCAGGCTTCCTCAGGTCCTGCACAAGGCAAGGTGCTCTGCCCTTTCAGAATGCAATCTAGCAGAATGTCTACTGAGAGGCCCCCCAAAATGCTATTCTTTCAGATAACAGGAAACAGGGGGAGATGGGCCTTTTGCAAATGGGATGGGAGTGAGGGTAATAGGAGGGGAGGGGACAGGAGGGTAATGGGAGGAGAGGGGACAGGAGAGGAAAGGAGGGGAAAAGAGTTGAGGTGTGCTGTGCACATGTACCAGCTCCTCATGAGCAGTGTAATCATTATATACTACAAAAACATACTAATAAAGAATAAAAATTGAAAACAAAAAGAATTTAAAACATTATCGGGCTGGTGAGATGGCTCAGTGGTCTAAAGCACCTACTTAGAACAAGCTAAGCTAAGCAAAGCACATGGACTGTGGTTCAATCCCCCAGCACCACATGCCAGCCAGCCCCGCCCCCTGGTGGGCTGAGCTGGCCACACACACACACACACACACACACACACACACACACACACACAATAAATAAATATTAAAAAAAATAAAAAATAAAAATAAAACATTATCTTTTGACCTACAAATCCCAACTTCCAGAAAACACTTTGAGTAAAGTGTCTTATCAACAAAACATACTGTAGGAGCCCAAAGATCTAGTGTTCTATCATACTTGTGTTTAACAATGCTGAAGAAAAACATCCAACTCAACAGCTCACAATTATCCATCAGCATATCTTCAAACTCCAAATACCCACAGCTTTTGTCCCGCCCAACACTTCCCACCTCACTGCCCAAATTCTGCTATCTTGATTCCAGGGCACCCATAGCACATGCAACACACTGCTCTGTGTCTATCTAGTTTGTCTGTGCCCTCCACTACACTGTGTGCTCCTTGAAGGCAAGAAGCACACCCTTACCTTTTTTTTTTTTTTTTTTTTTTCCAGCCTTTCTGAGCATTTATTACAAGATCCCAACAGTGTTTTTATGTTTTCTTCTCACCATCCTGCTCTGCGGCTTCCTTGGCTCTCTTCACCCAGATGCCAAAGAGCCGGGCATTTGCGCGGGCCATGCGCAGACTGGCAAATGCCTTGAAGTTCTTTTCCTCCTCTGTGATGACCCTGGCCTTCTTCTTCTTGTAGACATTCCTGAGGGCATCACAGGTCCTGTCAGCCGGGTGGCCAATTTGAGTTGTTCAGCAGAGCTGTCTCCCTTTTTGGGGGCTGATAGCTTCCTGGGGAAGAGGATGAGCTTGGAGCGGTACTCTTTCAGCCCCTGCACGTTGACCTGCAGGGACTTGGTGGATTTGTTCCACTGCCTTGAGTCCACCAAGATGCCAATGGTCCAGGCCACCTTCTTGTGAATACCGGCCTCCCGCAGCTCCTCCAGACTGAAGGCCCTTGGTGTGGTATTGCAAGGTGGGACAGCACATGATGGGCTGGATGGGTCCCAACGCAGGGCGTGGGGCGATGAGGCATGCTTGTGCCTGCAGATCTCCCAAGCTGGCTAACTGAACCACGTAGTCACACACTGCTGCCAGTCCTTGTGGAAGTGGGGCTTCACAATCATGCCATTCTAGGTGGGCGCCATGACTGCCCTTAAGCCGCAGATCGGCGGAACCGAAAGGAACAACGTCACCCCTACTCACCTTTGAATCTCCTTGGAGTCAAGCATTTGCTGAAATTTCCCCCATGAAGACTCACCTGCGCTCCGCGTGCACAGAGCACTGGTGTGTCAGCCTTATCACTAAACCGCCCCCTCCCCAACCCTCCCGGCCCTGCTTACCTGCATAGAAGTGATAAAAGGGCCACCAGACAGCACTGTTTGGGATATAGGTAAGCAGTGAAGCCACATAGCCTCGGTAGAAGCCGCGAAGCCCATCGGCCCGCAGGATCTGCCTGATGATGTCCTTAGTCTGGCCAAAGGCAACAACCCCGTGTCCTTCTAGGTTCCCACGCACCTGGAAGCGGCCCACTTTCTCACCCTTGCGCTGCATCATGAGGTGCTGGGATACCACGTCGATGGGCACAGTGATGCTTTGGGCCACAAGGGAGGCAGAGCCCCCCGCCACCAGTGATTTGACTGTGTTGCTCTGACTGTAGTCAGCTACAAATTTCCGGGTGAGCTCATAGGTGGTGACATAACACTGGCCAGAGATAAGGGTGAAGGTATTGACCAGGAAGCCCCGGTACAGGCCCGTCACACCATCTGCTCGCAGGATCTTGATAAAAGCATCAAAGGTTCCATGGTACAGGCTCTTTCCCTTCTGAACCTGGAGCCGCGTACGGATGAGGGTAAATGGATAGACACTGACACGGATCATCATTGTCATGGCCACACCAAACACATAGAACTTCTTCTTGTCCAGGTGCTCCCACTCGATGATCTGGATATTGCGTTTGTCCTCCATTGCACTTGAACAGCTGGATTTGGGCAGGGGCAGGAATGGGAGGAAACAGGTCAGTACTCTGTGCTCTCCCCTCCTGGCTAGACGCCAACAAAGCTCATCTCCTCAGACTTCATCTTCTGAGGGCTCACCTCTCCAAATCTTAGACTTCACCTGGGTCTGCCCACCCCTGCCTCACACAAACCAGCATCCCTCTGCCCCCTTCTTTGCCCTTAACTGATCTCTTCCCCACTCAGGTCCCCTCCTCCATAAGCCACTCCTCACCCAGTGACTCTTGGCTCTACTCAACCCTTGGCACCCTACCCCAGTGTAGAAGAACATGTGCCCTAAACTCTCTGTCTGGGCCATGGTGGCACATCCCTGGGCAGGGACCATTCTCCTTATGTGGCTCACCCAGGCACGGTGCAGCACACTGTATGGACAAGCCAACCCCACAGCAAGACCTAAATCACACCACTAAGTGACACTGAAAAGATTCCCAAAGGCTCCTTGGTTCACTGAGGGTGCACCACCTTGGGCCTTTCCTCCAAGCGGGCACCTCTTAGCACCTCTCACCAGCTGACTCTCCTTCTTACTGCTAGATTCCCACATTGGCCCAGTGAGCTCCCCTGAACACTTGCTGTACTTGCATTTTCTCCAGCCTGCATTAGAATACTATGGGGAGGCGAGTTGAGTGGGGCTTTCATGCCACAGGGCATCACTACCACCTGCCCAGCCTCCACAGAGAGAAGGGGGAAAGCTAAGAACAGGCCAAAGGTCAGAGTCCTCTTCAGGTGAGGTAACTGACTCCAGAAAGAGAAGTGAGCCCAAGAGCTATAGTTTACCTGTGGTGCCTGGAAACCACAGGGTGGAGGACAGATGTGACCGTGTACTTTCAACCATACTCACAAAGGCCATAGCCTCAGGCTAGAGAATGAAGGTAGGAGAAGGGGCAGAAAAGACAGACTCTGCTTTCAAGAAACTCACAGACTGCTCAGAGACATCAAAGCCTTCTAGAGAATGGATATAAGATACAGAGGAAAAGAAAGCAAATTAATGTACATGGGGTCCACATGTAAGTTTATCCATCACCTAGAATTTCAAACAGAACTAATAAGCTCACTATTATGGTTCATGTCTAGGTGTCTCCCCAAAGCCTCTTGCAGCCATGAAGTGGGCTTCTAGAGATTTGGATTGACTCATAGTCCAATGCTGAGATTCTGGGTGTAAGTGCTACACCCGCCCTGGGCAGGTCACCTGAATACAGCATAAGGGAGGGGAAGAGGCTTGCTTCCACTCTTTCCTTTTTGCTCTTGCTGCTTTTGCTGTTTTCTACCTCCATGAACTGCTGTCCTCCGCCATGTGCCACTCTGCCTTGGCGCCATCCCAGTATGGACTGAAACCTCCACCAACTGTGAGCTAAATAAATCTTTGCTTCCTTAATTTTGGGTGTCAGGTATTTTGTCTCAGCAACGAGACAAAAGTAACCAAGACACTCACTAATGTAATAATCATATGAAACCAGGAGCTTCAAATTTAGGAAATGTGGAAACTGGAGCATATCCTATATTAGAAATATTGTTAGCGATAATGTTGTGTGCTCCATTGTTTAGTAGGATGCTGGAAATTTTCACCCAGATGGGAAAAGTGGGAAGCTAAATTCCAGGAAGTGGGAAGTCCAACCTCCCTAGACTGAAAGAGAAATTCATAAGGAAACCCAAGGAATTTGTGAATATACAGGAAGTTTCATCTCAGTCTACAGAAGAAAAGAATGATCTACCCACTGGCAGAAAGATAGCAGGCCATTTTATAGGAGAAAGACAGGGCCTGGTGTATTACGTTTTTGTCTTAGTTTTGAAGTGGGTGACCTTGGGGCCCAGTGGAGATAGCTCAGTGGTCTAAAGCACCTGCTTAGGGAAGTGTATAGGGACCAAGGTTTGAGCCCCACCCCCAGGGTAGGCTGAGCCAGCTCCCTACCCCTCCCCAAAATGTGAGTGCTTTATGATGTTTTGCCTAAAAATAGTATTTAACTCCCTCAATCTATTTCTTTATCAGTTTTTTGCCTTTTCCTCTATTAACTATGCTAATTTATGGACTTATAGTAGTATCTTTAAGGGATTTGAGGTGTCATGGCCCTGGAAGAAAAGTGGCATAAACAAGCCTAAGGAGCACAGCAATAGATAACTTTGGGAATTTTCACTGCTTTGAAGTTACAGTCTTCTTAAAAATAAGACTTTGATGTCATGCATGGTAGCACACACCTGTAATCCCAACACTCAGGAGGCTGAGGCAGGAGGATCACTGAGAGACCAGCCTGGGTTACAAAGTGAGCTCAAGGCCAGCCTGAGCTGCATAGCGAGACCCTGTCTCAAAAAGACAAAAACAAAACAAAAAAACAGGCTTTGAAATTAAGATTTCTCTTGCCTCCCTTTTACCTATATTTTTTTCTATCCTACTTCAACACCATGTGTCCATTCAGAGTCCACCCTCAACCACCTTGTCTAGCTGGAGGACCCAATCCAGGCTCAGCAGTTCCATGGGAACTGCTCTTGGTTTGGATGGAAGTCACTGGGGAATCGAGAGCAGCTTTTGGGGACTCCTGGAGCTGGGCTGCCACTTCCATAAAGAGTGGTCTACCTACAGTAAGGGACAAACTGCTACCAAAGAGCTGGGACAAGGAGAGACACAGGAAACCAAGACAGGCTTCCTGGAGGGTCAACCCAGGTAAGGAAAGGAGGAGTATGTGTGAAAGTGAAAACAAGAGGACACTGGCTTGGAGAAGGGAAAAAAGAAATCAGGTGTTTGCCAAAGTAGGAAATCAAGGCTGTGGGAAATTAGCTAGCGATGGCGTTCTGCAGGCAGCAGAGCTGCTAGAACACTTGAGTGCTACTTGCCATGAACACAGATGACTCCACCTGTTCAGGCTCAGCCTGAGATAGCCGCCACCAGTCCAGCATGGCCATCTCCTCTGAGCTGTGTAAGAGAATGTGGTCACTGTGTTTCCAACACCACCAACAGATCAGAACATATAAGGAAAACCCTCAGATTTGCAGAATACCTACCACCTCCTGCAGTCCTTACAACTTAACCTGTGTACATGAAACACTTCTGCTAAAGGAAGAGGAGGACAGCAGAGCTGGACAGAGCAACTGTAACAGGCCCAAGGTCATGCACTTGGTC